CTTGGCGGCAGGGCCTGGGCCCTGAGTTGCTCTGTAACTCTGGAAAAAAGGGATAGCTACAGATAAAACTGGAGCCCATTATACAGAGCGAAGTAAGCCAGAAAGATAAAGAACATTACAGCATACCAACACATATATATGGAATTTAGAAAGATGGTAACAATAACCCTATATGCAAAACAGAAAAAGAGACTCAGATGTACAGAACAGACTTTTGGACTCTGTGGGAGAAGGCGAGGGTGGGATGTTTCGAGAGAACAGCATCGAAACATGTATATTATCTAGGGTGAAACAGATCACCAGCCCAGGTTGGATGCATGAGACAAGTGCTCGGGCCTGGTGCACTGGGAAGACCCAGAGGGATCGGGTGGAGAGGGAGGTGGGAGGGGGGACCGGGATGGGGAATACATGTAAATCCATGGCTAATTCATGTCAATGTATGACAAAAACCACTGCAATGTTGTAAAGTAATTAGCCTCCAACTAATAAAAATAAATGAAAAAAAAAAGGGATAGCTAGCCATCACCCACATATCTATCTACCCACATCACCTGTTCAGGTGAGGGGCCTACACAGGTGACCCTTGAGCTGAGATGTGAGGTTGGGACAGTTCACTAAACAAACTGGGCTTGAGGTATTCCTGGGTAAAGGCAGCTTCAGCAAGAAATTATGAGTGGATTCAAGGGTGTATGTGGGGGATGGTGACTATGAGGCTGGGAGGAGGGGAGGCAGGAAAGACCAGGCTGGGAAGGGCCTCTCATGAACAGCTGAGGAGCCTGAGATCCATCCCAAAGAATGTGAAGCAGGAGGAGTAACGAGATTAAATTTCTTCTCAATTTTTTATGGTAAAACTGAGATTATAGACTTATTTTATATTAATATTCAAAATTATTCTTTACTGAGGCAATAGTTATTATTTTACATTTGCTTACTATTTTAAATATCTGTAAAAGTTGCTTTTGCTTACTTTTTTGTTTATTTGGCTTTAATACACTTTTTATCCCACAATATGCTATATATGTAAATAACTGTTTCTCAGGAAGAGTTTCATGGTTATTTAAGCTCTCATGGCTTTTGCTCAGATGCTGCCAGTGCCTTGCTCATGCTCCCCAGAACAATCCCAAGGGCTGGTCACTTGAGGCCAGTCCCCTTCCAGGCTCGAAGCTGCCCCATCTCTTTGCCTGAGTTGTTTCTGGCCCCAGGAAAGGAAATGTGGCCCAGAGCCAGGGATGGCTGCAAAGGCTGGACAGACAGTTAATGCCTTTGGAGCGATTCTCCATGGACGAGAAACAGGAATTGGTAAATAAACTCTCCAGCAGCTTCCCTACCCCGCACAGCAATGATTCTGAGGGGTGTTCTAGAGTCTGTCTCTCAGAGGAGCTGCAGCAGGACAGAGCACGAACTGCCCACAGCACAGCCTGCCCTTCTGTGCACACTTTCCCGTCTTGTCTCTTTTCATCAAAACGCATCACTCCTGCACTGTGCCCCGTACCCCCACCCATCTCATTCCCTAAACACCTGTACCACGGTCATCGCGTCCAGGTCTGCTCTGGGGGGGTCCAAACTAGAAGGGTTAGTAGACTTCACAAACTCTTATATATCCAAAGCTATCCTTGTTTTGCTTTCACCATGGAGGGCAAGATGGCTGGGTATAGAATTCTTCCTTCACTCTGGAACACAATCTAATTATTGATATTAATGTTACAAAAGCTGGACAAAGAATGAGTTTCCTTGTTTTCTGTTAGGTACGGGTAGCATCATTTTACACTGTGAAAACTGAAATGTGATTAAGTTGCATGTAAACATTAAACCATTTTTAACACTTTTGCCTGATGTCTGCAGCACCATTCACAAAAATGGGGATTCTTTCTTGCTGTCTACTCAGGTCTTCTATTCCAGTGATTCTGAAACCATCTCCATTTGCTGGTTCTCTGGCCTTGACCTTCCATATCTAGTCTTCACTGCCATCCTTCTCCACTGCTCTGTTCTTTTTCTCTAAATTCTCAGAGATCTCCTCACATACGCCCTCCACAACAATGAATCAGTTTCCCGTACTGCTAATTCTGCTCCTTTCTGATCATAACAAATATTTTAATTCTGTCATTGCCCTCTTGGTTTCATTATAATACTTCTTAATTCCACCCACAAACTTCTTTTTTTTTTTGCTTCTCTCTCAGCCCTTTCCATTTTCCTCTCAGTCCATTGTTCTACTATCTGATCATTTGCTGGGTTCACTTTTTTTTTTTCCTTGAATTTTACTAAGAAAACAGATGTTCTGTAAAATTTACTTTTGCTTTCTATTAATAGTCTTTTAAAAGGTATGCTTTCCCTCTGTTTCTGGAGTTACACTTCTCTTATTTAACATGTTAGGACCTTTATGCAGGGCCCATGCTGCTTCTGGTAGGTCTATCAGTGTGGGTGGGCCCCTTCCTGTCTCACTCACTATCCACCTACGTATTGTTAAAAGCTTGCTCTGGGCGGAATGATGCCACTTATATTCCCCAATTGATTAACTCTGCAGTTGTGACTGTCGTCACAGGAGGGGACTTTTTTCTCTATTGCTCCTCCTCCTGCACTGAAGGGCGTCTCACCCGTATGCTTTTCTAGCTGGCCCTGCCTCTGCAGCTGCCACATGATATGATGTCTCTGTGCCTTGCCACCTTTCTTGGACTAATGCTCACCAGAGCCCAAAGAGCCTGATACCGTGCCAACTTTCTGCCAAATAGAAACCTGGTGTCCCCTGTGCCAAAGGTTTTAGAGGTCACTGGGACTCAGTGGCAAAGAGATAAAAATGTGTCCTCATTGGCCCCGTGATCAGCTCCAGTAGCCAATGACACACCTGTGTCCTTCTCAGGTGCATCGTCCTTGACTGACTGAGTCCCCTTATCCAGGATGTCTCCCCAGTGGTTAATAATGATGATGGGGTGGAAACGGTGCTCCCCTTCCACTTCAAGGGCGACAGTTATGCTGATTAATTTATGCTCTAGGGCACCCTCCATCTCTTTTTACCCCACAGACAGACCAGGGCTTGTTTGGGATTTTGTACCCTTCCTCAGACCTTTCTGCCCCATTCCGCTTCCCTCACTTCTTTTCTCCTGAGAACATTCCTCCAATAAATCAGGTATGCCCAGATTACATGCAGTAAGGAAGGAATGGGGAAATGTATGAAAAACCCATGTTGTATAGTAGGTGATCAATAAATACGACTTCCCATTCCCCAAATGATTATAGGATTAAGGATATAATCATTTGCTCATACTATTTGCTCTAAAAGATAGTCATCACAATATTATCCAAAAGGTAATAAAACTGAAACTAATCTAAATATCCAAAAGCATGAATTCACAGGCAATCCATACTATATCCTATGATAGAATATTATACAGTCTCCAAGCCAAAAAGAAAAAGATGGTGAAGGGAAGTAAAGTAAGATGCAGGAGGCTACTTTGTTTACAAAATAATACCACGAAGTTCTATATACTAACAGTAAGGCCAGTTCTGAGCTTTCTAGAACAGAGATAATGAAGCTTAGTTGGTTATAAGGATGCCTCTGTCCACAGATACAAACAAGCTAAAATGCTCTGGAAAAGCAGAGCTATTCCTAATTCTGAGGCAGAGAGAGAGTTCTTCCATGGGCTTGAGTGTGGGACAGTGATGACCCAGGCACTAGTTATCATAAAGATGGGTTCCACAGGCCTGGTCCCTCAGTGGGCCCCTCTCCCACTACCCATCCTCCTTCCCCCCACAGAAAGATGGCATCATGGCACCTGATATTCTGTAAAAGAGATTCTGTCCACAGCCAAGTAACAGAACTCTATGGATACTTGGTTCCCTCTGGACTGAGATTAAATCAGGGACAATTTGGGGGGTTTAGAGGAGCTGGAAAGTATGCTTTTCTTGCATTCAATGCTTCTGTGGCCTCCACTATGCTAGAGCTCCAGAAGCTATGTAGCATTACAGAGTCTGAGATGATTTCTTGGGAAGTTCTTGGAATGCCATTCTAGATGTCTATATGCTTCAGCTGCCCTGTAAGCTGGGCAGGATTGGCATGTCCTGGTCAAACTATTGCGCCTTCAGGATCTGTGCCTGGACGAAGGCTGCCCACAGCCCGAAGGTTGGCCTACGCTCACCTGTGGGTAGGGCCAAGGTTTACCTCAGAAAATGATTTTGGCTCCATTTCTACACAGACATCAAGGCGCCGCAGTTCACTGCTGTGAACATATTGAAAAGCTGCAAAAGTTCCCATCAGAAGAGCTGCCCCACAGGTAGATAACCTGTCTAACCACAGGTAGACCACCTCCATGGAAGGATGTCTGAGCCCAATCACTCCTCCTGCTTGCCTGTGGATGAGGTCTGTTACTCTTTCTTCCCCAAAGTGGTTCACTGAGGGGGATTATGGAACAGGAGAGAAAACCAGGTCCTCTTTCCTTTCTGAGTCACGCTATTTTAACATCATTCACATAAATTAAATTGCTCTTAAAAACTCACTCAATTCATGGAAATAATTTAATTTCCTCAATTCACTAAAATATTTCAGGAATAAATCAATACGCCAAAGCCGAGGCCAGTGTTCATGACCCTTGAATGGAAAACATCAAAGGCATCATTGGTGATAATGCATGTGATAAGCAGTGATTTGCTTTCATTTCTTATCTGGTCTTTCACAACTGCTGACCTAAAGCATGAATTCTGTAGAACATGCATGTGCCAGAGATGATGACTGTATCATCTCAGAGAAGGGGCCAGAATATAACTGAGTGGAGAGGATTTCACAAGATAGAAGGGATGGGAGGCAGTGTCAAATACTGATATGGCTCCAATGCACAGTGGGAATTGAGTTTCTTCTTTGGCTTTACCAACAATGCTTTCTAAGTCCAGGAGGAAATCATTCTAATAATTCCAAATGAGCCTCCACACAAAGGAACAGTATTTGCAAGATCACTGCATATTCCAGGCTATGATGAAAGTCAGCAAATGCACTAGACACAGGGCCTTCTTACCTTCTGCCACATGTTGATGAAGAAGAGCTCCCGAGAAACGTTGAATGACACGTTGGCATCATAGGCATCATCCCCAAGGTTAGAGATGGAGATATTTAGGGAGATATTCTTCACAGCCCCCAGAGCTAGATACGGGGTTTTCTCATCAACACTAAAAGGAAAAATGAACAGCAATGAGTGCACTAAAACTTTCACTAATATATTAGAAACATGGAATGTAGCGGGTAGCTGAGAAAAGGGGAGGCAGGTGGGAGAAAGTGCTCTGGATCAGGACTACAAGTCCCAGGAACCCACTAATCAGCCATGTGTTCTGGGATACCCAGTCAGCCCCCAAGGGCCTCAGCTTCCACATCTAAGCACTGGGAATTCTGTGGTGTGCAGCCTAACTCACTCACTAGGCCATCCTGTGGCTCATGTGAAATCTACTATATCCAACTTGGAAAATTATAACACATTTAATAACCTAACAACTTCCCTGGTGGCTCAGATGGTAAAGCATCTGCATACAATGCAGGAGACCTGGGTTCAATCCCTGGGTCAGGAAGATTCTCTGGAGAAGGAAATGGCAACCCACTCCAGTATTCTTGCCTGGAGAATCCCATGGACAGAGGAGCCTGGTAGGCCACAGTCCATTGGGTCACAATAACCTAATCATGAATTTTGGTTATAGGATAATTCACTTAAATACTTCTGAGCACCTACGACATGCCAATCACTACTTTATGTGCTAGAGAAATCAGTGAACAAAAGAGAGTTCTTGCCTTCCTGTAGCTTTAAGGAGACAAAAAACATATATACAAAGAATCAAATATACAGGTCAGACTGGTAACAGCAATGGAGAAAACTTACAAAGGGTAAGAAGGATAGAAGGCACCATAGTTGGAGGGGGAGTAGGGTGCAATTTTAAATAAGCTGGTCAGGGAAGCTTCACTGATGAGGTGACTGCTCAGTAGAAACCGGAAGGAAGAAAGATAGCAAGATGCACAGTATTTGGGAACTAGCAAAGGAGAAGTCATGCCTGGTATGTTCAAGGATGGCAAGGAGAGTAGTGTGGCTGGAGAGGAATGAGTGAGGGGCAGAATGGGGAGGGGAATGGGCTTAGTGGTGAAGGGATGGAGTCATCACAAGGACCTTAGTTTGCCTCTGAGACAGGAGATCCTGCAGGGCTCTGAACAGGGGATGCTATGGTCTGACTTCCATATTTAAAGGCTCACACTGGCTGTGATGTACACGGTGAGTATACTCAGTCAGAGGGAAAAAGAGAGCCTGGTGAGAAGGCTCTTATAATAATTCAGGTGTAAGAAAATGGCAGCTCAGACCACGGGGATAGAAGCTGAGGTTATATTCTAGATGTTTCAAAAGTTGTGCCAATATATTTTGCTCAGAGATTGGAAGAAGGGTGTTCAGGAAAGAGAAGAGTCAAGGATGGCTGCAAGAACGTTAGATTCAACAACTGGAAGGAAAGAGGTGTCACTTATCCAGATGCAAAATACCAAAGGTATAGAAGGTCAACAGAGAACATTCAAATGCCTACTGGATTTTTAAAAAGAGATGCTGAGATGGTTGGATATAAGGGTCTGGAGTGGAAGCAGGGGGTCAGGGCCAGAGATACGCATTTGGGGTGGATCAGAAGTGACCACTAGGGAATGCATGTAGATAGAGAAGGAGGGCTCACACTTACGAGTTAAAGATGATGATAAGCCAGCAAAGGAGACAGAAAAAGAGTGAATAAGGAGACAGGAGAAAAACCAAGACAGGCAATCTCCAAGCAGCCACATGCTTCAAGAAAGGAATAATCAGTTTTGTCAAATGTGGCAAACTAACATGAAAAATTATAACTGACAATTGGAATTAGCCATCTGGAGGTCATCTTGATAAGGACTTTGTGATCTTGAACTTGTGTTCTTTGTGATAAGAACATTGAAGAACTTCTGAAGTGCAGTGTCAGGGATGAAAGCTTGACTGGAGTTGGTCTAAGAGAGTTAGGGGTAGAAGAAATGAAAACAGTGGACATAGCCAGTTCTTTGGAGGAGTTTTTCAGTAAAGGAAAGCAGAGAAATAGGATGACAGCTGGTGGGGGAAATGGGCTCAAAGGAATTGCTTTTCTATTTTCAGAAAGGAATGAACATGGCATATTTACATGATACTGGGAAGGATCTACTAGACAGAGGGCAAGTAATGAAGATATGACAACACACAGTGGCTGGGTGACCTGGTGAACAAATAGAGGGGCTGGCCTCAGCTGACATGAAGTAAGAAAATGGGGCACATGGCCCAGATGCATCAGTAGAAGTGTGGTAGGAAGAAATGAAAGTTCCCCTGGGAATGCCTCTACTTTGCAGTGAAATAAAAGCAGAGTCCAAGACTGGGAAGGGAGAGGAGGAGGGAAGAATGTTTGAAGAGTGAGGAAATGGAGGGAAATGGCAGCCCAGGAGAGTTGTGGGATAAACAGACCATCAACGAGATGAGGATGATGGTGGTGAGGATGATGGTGGTGACAAGGATGAAGATGCACATGAGACTGACAATTATTAGGTGATATGAGCTTCAGACAAAAATCACACTGGAGAACAGTCTTTGATTGGCCAAACAGTTAGTAGCAGATGTGATGAAGTCTACAAGGGTTTGAGTGATGGAAGTGCGTGTGTGCATGCTAAGTTGCTTCAGTTGTGTCTGAGTTTTTGTGACCTTATGATGCAGCCCGCCAGTCTCTTCTGTCCATGGGATTTTCCAGGCAAGAATATTGGAGTGGGTAGCCATTGCCTTCTCCAAGGGATCTTCTAGAGCCCAGGAAATGGAACCCGCATCTCCTGCATTGGCAGGTGGGTTCTTTACCACCAGCGCCACCTGAGAAACCCTGAATTATGGATAGTTGCTATTTTTGGCCACTCAGGACCCTGAAACCTTCCTGTTTGGAGGGAATCTCAAGACAGGTAGGAGAGGAAGATAAGCAGCAGAGGGGGCAGACGCTGCCTTT